TTTTTTTTTCCATTGTAGCAGTATTCCTCAGAAATAATAAACGAATTGAATCCCTTTTTTCGCTTTTTTCTTTGTTTGTTCACAGGATTATAACTATTTCTTTTAGATCTGCATTTTTTCTTGAATTTTTTAGCATTTGTATGCTTTTTTTAGGATAGCGATCCGCATTTATTTGTAACCTGCAGTGAAAAGGATGAGCTTTTTTCGAATAAAATTGAACATGTTGTGAAATCATCGTCTTTCTTCGCTGACAGTTATCATATGACACCGGATTATGGTGTCGAATGTGTGAAACCGGATGACATTGCATGTATCTGCTATACTTCAGGAACTACAGGTATCGATTATTTTTCCAGGAACTACGAATATTTTTTGCTATCTCGTTTTTCAAGCCGAGGTAAATTCAAACCTCCTCGGCTTTTTATGATTTATCTGAAACATATTTTGCCAACAGAAATTGCTCAGTGGGTGGGTGGGTGTCCCCAAAATGAGGGAGGTGGAGTGGGGGGGAGGGGGAAGAGTTTAAATATTTCCTTTTTTTGTTTTGATTTTGTTTTTTTTAAAATTATTTGATCTATTTTCTAACTATTTGGTTTTCTTATTTGTCTGAGTATCAATTTTCCGACAAATCACAAAAAAATGAGTTTTCTTTTTTTTTTTATCAATGGTGTACCAATGAATAGTACCCGCGAGAAAGTAAACGACCACTCTGCCGACCTCTGAAGAGATCGCGCAAGCTCCATCTTGAATAAGCGATAGGCAAAAACTGGGAAAATGCTTTTAAAAATCGAAAACTAAAACCAATGTTTTGCGCTTACAAGTGTTTTTGTAACCTTCTTACTGCTATATTGAATCCACTAATCTAAGTACCACAGTGCAAAAGTGATCCTCTAGGTGTGCCAAAAGGTGCGATGTTAAGTCATGCTGGCTTAATTTGGAATGCCGAAGCGCTGGTGGATATGTGGCAATTCACGGAAAAAGATGTGCAACTTCATATGTTGCCATTTTATCATGTACATGGAATGTTCATAAGCCTCCATTGCTCACTGTTCTCGAAATCAAGTATCATTTTTAGGTAATGTTTTTTTCTAAAAAGTAAGAAAGTTGAGGGTATTATCTGCTCTACATCTCTGTAGTAAATTTATCGCTTTGTCTTTTGTGGTTTTTATAGATTTTTTTGATCTATCACTCATATCTATTTCTTCCTGTCATCTGTCTTGCAAATTAGACACATGACTGTTCAAAACATGGCGGGTAGGAGGAAGCTGTACTGATGATTCCCACTGCTACTCGCATGCACTGTTCGGTCCGTGTATATAGCTAAGGGATGAAACACAGACTGCGTCATAAAGTGTCTTCAAACACATGACATTCAAGTGAAATCCTTCTA